TCCTATTTTCAATCCGACTTCCCTGAGTACCTTCAAAATCTTCTCGATGTTTTCCATATGTTCTGGATACTTATTCGTTGCCGTGATCGTGTCGTCTTCGACACCCTTGATGGCGAGCTTCGAAACAGCGCCACATACGGAGGAAATTCGGGAGTCAACGCGGATGAAGGAGAAGTCAAGAGAACCGGAGGGTTTAGAAGATCGAGTGATCGACAGGTCTTCAGAATCAGCATCAGGATCATCTCCGGAAATTCAGATCAACGTAGATACGGATAGGTATCCGGAAAAATCAAGGCCACTCAGGAGAAGAGCTACAGATTTGAACACAGCAATCATGGAATCTCCGGGTAGAGAAGAGGATCACTCAGAGCAGGCTAGGCAACAGCCAGTTAGAAGGAAACGCTTTCAGGGAACATATTCTAAGTAATGTTGAGGACAACATTTAGGTAGCGAGACCGAGCGAATTGGGTCAAATGTATGGAGAGAATGTGGCAGGAATGTGTCGGAGATGGAACAGAGATGTACGGGATGTGCACGGCGGATAGAAGATCGACCGGAAGAAATGCCGAATTCATATTTTAATTGGAATCGGCGCTGGCATCGACGGAATTCGACCAATGAGATTCAAGAGAGACAGCCGACTGATGGGGTGTGAGAGACAGTTGGATGATTCGACGGTGTGGAGTCAACCGGTCAAGTCACAATCGTCAAAAGCTCCAGCGAACGTCTCGACTCAACTAGGTACGTAATAATCGGCGTTTCCATAGGAAATAGGCATTCAGAACAGGCCACCTAGAGCCTAGAGGATGAGGATTAGGCAATCCAGTTGATCGGGAGATCAAAAACGGTAGCTGTGGTCGAATGTCATAGGCGAAATCTATAAGGGGAGGTCTGTGGTCAGGTGCACGTTGCATGATCGTCACCGCGGGCCCTGATGACGTCAGTCGAGAGTTGGGTGTCGTAGCCGACGGCACGCGCGACGCTCAGTCCAATCGAGTATTCGCCCAATAAATTAGTGAGGTGAAATAAGTCGGACATTCCTCCCTTCAAGCCATTCCACATAGTCGGAGTAGTTATCACACTACGTACTGACATTGATCTCTCTTTTCAAGAGTACCGAAAAATCGGAAATGAAGCTCTTGTGCCTGTTGTTAATCCTCAACCCCTTGGCGCAGAGTCTCTCCGTGATCCGAAACCCCTTGCTACACAAGATCCCAGAAGATTTCCCTGAGGCGCTCCTCGACCACGGAGCCTATTACTCCGCGTGAGTTCTCGAATAGATGAAGTGATGAGATTTTCTTACTGCCAACCACGTAAAGAAAATCCAGAGAGAAGAAACGCTAAAGAAAGTCTATTTAACTGAGTTCTGCACTGACACAATATTTTTCAGGTTTCCGTGCTCAGTGATCTTCGCATGTCCGTACCTCGGGATGAATGTGAGCCCAAGCGGATGATCCGCGGGACTATTTTGCGCTCGAATCGCAGAGTCATTTTCGAACCCGAAAGATACGTCATAAGACGGCTCCTACTTGCAGGAAAGCAATCCCGAGGTATTACAGAATGTATGTGGGACTGCAGCATGGAACTTCGATGCCTGGCTGCCTTTTTTTACGGAAGCGTGTAACGACCCCAACATTTGCGATTCGCTTCCGGTGACAAAACACTCGTGCGATGACCGCTTCCTGTGAGTAATCATTAGTAATCACTTGGCCTGCATCACACCCGTCAAGGTATTTTGCGGCCAAGCTATCTGGGATGCTTACAGTCGGTGGCTTCATCCCACAACGACACCAGCTCCCAGCACCACGCCTGTTCCAACATCCTCGACAACGGCACCAACATCGGAAACTCCCACCGGTCGGCCTACTACGGGAATGCCAAGCACCACCAGGGCGCCGACACCAACGCCGGTGCCTTCAAGCGGAGACCTCAAGTGGTGGTTTTCAACTGGATTTCTATGCCCAATCATTACTGCTTTAAGCGGAGTGATCTACTTTCTAGCTATGAGGCTGAAACGCCTGGGCTACCAAGAGATCGAAAGGCCGCTAAATGGATTGGAGGATGAGAAACTAAAGTAAAGGCATTTCTCTGATTCAAAGATTTTGTCTTATCTCAAGTTTTTTTGACGTGAAACGTCTTTAAAAAGGTTGGCCTAGTATTTCACCAAAAGTGTGACGAAACTTGTCCATTTTCGACGCCTTGCAGCTCCGTGCTTTCTTCACCGATCGACACCCGGTTGGTGTCTTTAGATAGCAAATTTACGCCACATCAATTTCATAAACTTCCCACGGAATTCCCACACACACAGATCAATCTCTGGAGGCAAGAATGACACCCTATACGCCCTATTCTCCCGTGAACATGGCTGCTCTTGGGAGAGGGCGATTTCAAATTTCCAGAGCGCGCGTAACAAAACTCAGAAGAAGATATTTTCCACTCGGAAGAAGATATTTTCCAAACTTCGGTGAAGAGTTCGATTTCACCAGCGAAATTGAGACCTAAAAGAGCCAGTTCCAGACGTCGGAAGTCTCGTTCACGGACTAAAACTCCGAATGATTGTAAAAGGCCTCGTACAGGCGCTGAAAGGACAGCGCATCCTGCGCGCAATGGCGGGCGCGTCGACTGAATACGGTGAGCCAGTCCCACAGCAATGCGAGACCACATACGAATCAAAGAAATATGGGCATTGATGCGCTAGTCAGTCCGATGGAGGTGACTCCCGATGTCAGCACCCACCCTTGCTTACCTATGCGATCGTAGATTCCCATTGCGCTCGGGTAGGAGCTGAGTTTAAAGAAATAATAACGATGCTCGAGTCTTACGAGTAGCCATTCCGAAGACGTTTCACGTCCTCTACACGGTAGTGGCTCTGCTGCTACCTCTGAATTATTTTTTAAATTTTGAAGATAGGTTTGCTTTCGCAAACCTCTCCGGCCCTTCGCCGGTTCCAATCATTGTCCCACCGAAGTGGGACCGGGGATACAAGTACCTCGTACTTTGAGGAAAAGCCTTCGACTCCCAGAAGAGGCAGAATGCCTCGGATTTCGAGTAGAAAAGGGGTCCGCCGACGATCTTGTCTGGCTTGAGCGTCCTTATGTCCATCTCCCTGGGAACATCCGTCTGTTGCGAGCCTTTCACTATTTGAAAGAGTGCATCAGACAGTGTATCATTTAGAATGATACAAACAAACCACAATAGGAGAATGGGAGAAAAATACGCTAGTAACCGATGCAGATTACCACCACAAGTATCAGTATCACTGATACTGCTCCTGCCGCCAAACGCGGCTTCGTGAGCGCGGACGGGCACCTTTCGGTGACCGTCTCCAAACCCAGCGCTCGTCTTCGTATTTCGATCGAGTCTCGCTTTGGAGTCGTCACGAATTGAACGCCTTCCGTCCTCTAAGTCAGGACATATTTTTTAGGGCTCATAGTGGGGAGAAGATATTCTAACCACTCGAAAGATCTACAGATAGCTCACGCTCGTCTTCGCGGTCTTCATGGCAAGCATCGGTTGAGTTGTGTCTCCCATTTCTCGTTTCTCTCTTTCTCTCGAGAAAGAATGGTTTGGCAAAATACGAAGTCTGATTGGAATAAGCACCCCCTTTTATACCAATTGCAGACAATGAATCTATTCAGTTAGTTTTTCCAGACTGGCAGAAAGCTCAGAGATTAACCTCTCCATTTGCTCCCTGCGAGCAAGACATTCCGGGCGGCTACAAGGCCTGGGCGGTGAGCGCTCTCGAATAGCCTGCTCACAATACGGACGACGAGCCTCAGCATCCATGTCTGGCCAGATGAGTTCAGCAACATCGATGGCTTGCTGAAAACGAAGCCTATCCCTGCGCTGAACCATGAGTGCAAATTGTATAAATCCGTTCCTGGATCGTCGCTTTCGAGGACGAACAGCCAGAACCTGAGGACGATCAGACAGCATCTTCACAGCATCTTCCTCAATCACAATCGGAGGTACCATGATCGGGGTTTGAACACTTCCTTAAAACTTTCCGCAGTAAGGGAGAAAATAATGGGAAATCCCCTCTGTTTCTGTGAACAGGGCCATTTCCATTATTGTCTTAAAAGTTTTCCAGAAGTCAGTGTTTATGAGTTAATTACACTTGTTATCATGATAATTGTACTTAGATATGTAAGCCAGGAAACCCTGATCTAAGTCAGTGTTTTTGAGTTAATTACACTTGTTTACATGATAATTGTGATTAAATATGTAAGCCAGGAAACCCTGATCTAATTGACACAGAAAATGACATTTCAGTCTTTTTCTGGAGAACTCCTTCCGTTTTTCCACTGTAAGGGTCTATGAAACCCGGACGGTGTATATAACACATTGAAATAAACATCAGATACAGATTCTTCTGTTATACGCAATCCTTGCGTCCTCATTCTTGAGAAGCACCTTCCCTGCCCGCCCTCGACCCTCGGAGATCATCAGAACATTGTGCCGAAACAACTCTAAACTCCGGACAGCGGACTCCTGCCGACTAAGCACCTGCTCTGTGAGCTAACGCTCACTGGGATCCTCGCGGATTCCCAACACTACTTAGATGAAAAACACACGGGTCGACCTTGAAGCTCCGGAATCCTGAACTATTAAGGCTCTGGTAGAGCTTCTCAAACCACTGCCGCCCCGACTGTCTCAATCCGTCGGGTGGCTTCTTCAGTAGAAAAACCATGTCCTCTGAACCAGGGGTGGCCAACCTTTTTCGTCCCGCGGACCACCAAAGTCATGGCGACGGACCCCGCGGACCACCAAAATTTAGGTCACCCGTTTTAAAATCAGAACGCGAGAAGAAGGGGGCCAGAATACATCAAGAATGCACTTAATTTATCTTCATAGCACCAGATATTTCACCTCTTCGAAATACAAGCATGATAGAGATAGCAAAGAGGAGCTGCGCAGGAGTTTTCACAATCTCCATGGACTCCGAGTTCGAAAACAATTAAGAACGTTCACGCAACCTACGTTAACGTGTATAAATAGAATTAGTGCGATACCTGTGCTTGCTTCGACGACAAGATCGCGTCGATCTGAGGCGCTAGATTCGTAACTCCTAGTCGAAGTTCCGCGTGCATCTCGAGGGAAGTCCGATATCTAGTCTTGATGGCAGTGACAGATGAAAACGTTTTCTCGCAGAGGTAAGTTGTGGAGAATTGCACCAAAATCTTCATCGCTTCCGCGCTCAGCATCGGGTATTCTTGTCCAACTCCGAGCCAAAAATGAGCTCTCGACAACGAAGCGTGGAACTTCATCTGCAGGCTCGCATCTGAAGCGAGATCCAGCAAGCTTTCTTTCCCTTTCATGCACAAATTCGTGTCGTCAATTTTCGCGGTGAACGGATCCAGAATCCAGAGACTGCCATTTCTGGGATCTTCTTGCTCCGGGTAGTATTTACCGAACAAATCCATGAGGGTTTGTAAATGCTCCCGGACGATTACGACCACTCCCTCGCTGAGGTGATTCTGCTTCGAGAACTCATCGAAATTAGGAAACATCGGAAAATCTTTCTCTGAGACTGCGGCGTGCCAAAGAACTAGTTTTTTACGGAAGCCGTCAATCTTCGCTCGCAGCGTGAACATATCGCAATGCTTCCCTTGTAAGGATAAATTCAGCTCATTCAAATGAGAGAAAATATCGGCCAAGTATGATAGTTTGGCTTTCCAATCTACATCGGACATGATAGCAAGGAACGTCGAATTGTTCTGCTGCTGGAAAAATACCTTAACTTCTTGCAACAAAGAAAGAAGTCGATTGAGAACTCTCCCACGAGACAACCACCTGACTTCTGCATGCAAGAGGAGATGGGAAAACTGAGAACCCATTTCCTCACAGAGAGCTTCGAAGATACGCGAATTCAATGGTTTGCAACGAATCTCGTTCACAATGCGGACCACATCAGACAAAACGCTGTGCAATTGTGGAGAGAGTCGTTTCGCAACCAGTTGTTCCCTATGTATGATGCAATGGGTGCTCAGCAAGTTGGGGTGTCCGACCTTCTTGACTCTTGCTGTGAAACCCATCAGACGTCCTGTCATATTAGCGGCTCCGTCCGTGCATACCCCAATGCAGTTCTTCCACGGTATGCTATGATCTTCGAAAAAGCCGTCAAGGACTCGGAATATTTCGGAGCCAGTTGTCCGACCCGGCAGTTCCACAGAGCAGAGAAGTTCCTCCAAGAGTTCTCCGTCGTGTTCGACCTTGACGAAACAGACCAATACGGCTTTATTCGTCAGATCTGTTGACTCGTCGATCTGGATCGAGTGGAATGTCGACTTCTTGACCAAATCGATAATTTGATCTTGGATGTTATCGGCCATGTGCTCGATTCTCCGTTTCACCGTGTTGCGCGACAGGGAGATACCTCTGAGTTTCTGGTAAGCGTCGTGTCCGATCACCTCCTGACTCGCCAGTAGGATGCTATGGTTTTATCAATTCCTCGCCGATGACGTATGCTTTCTTGTTCTTCGCGATTTCGAGCGATATCAGATACGAGGCTCTCATCTGGGAGTTATTGTCACCAAGGGTCATATTTCTCATTGAATTCTGTTGCTGCTTGAGTTCGTCTCGCATTCTCTGAAAGTACTCCAACGGTTTGCAAGCCAGATCGGGATGTTTCAAATCTCGGTGCCTCTGAAGTTTGGACGGCTTCATTCCTTCATTCGATAGGCACTCCGAACAAACAATGCACAGCGGCCTAGGCTCGAATTCGCTACCGGGCTCTTGAATGAATCCGAATCTGAGATAGCTCGCATCGTACTTCCGCGTGCGTTTGTACTGCTTTTTCGGCCTCCCCGATGCCGCTATTCTGCCACCTATCCTGACCGGAGAGAAGTTCGAGGTCCCAGATATCTGTATCTCCGACTCAATTAACGGCATGGCCTCTTCCTCCAAGTCAATAACAGGATATCGTACTTCCCCTTCAGTGGCTAGCTCTCCAAAAGATGGGTTGTCATCGGCGTCCGCGGAAACGTGTTTTCGCTTCCTGAAGAAGCTCTGGATTCTGGCCTGACTCTTCCCGCCCATTCCGAGGAAACTGCTGGGGATTCTTCAATGAACTTGGGTGACGCCTTCCGGAAACAAGGCTAGAAGCCAGGCTCGAGCTCACTCTCGATCGAACAGTCCGCGGCGCGTACACATTCGACTGAACCCATGTGCGCGATACCCAAGCACAAATATTTAGGAACGGACGTTCCAAATCGAGACGGAATCATCTGCTCGCTCGGCGTGTGGTGTGTGAAACTTCGACACGCAGAGCACAGGTACATACACAATCACGTCTCGTATCCAATGCGCCTTCAGCAGCACGCGCGGCCGTCTCATGACTGACGCACATAGGGCTGTGCAGATTCCGCCGCGAAAGTCATGGGCTGTGCTCGTGTCAGATAAGCTCCCTCTGGTGTAAACTGGACAGAATGCTCCGCGGACCACCAAAATATAGGTCGCGGACCACCAGTGGTCCGCGGACCCCCATTT